GTTTGCGCACGAGATCCGCACGCAGAAGCAGGAGCTGGTGTACTTTGCCAGCCCGATCATGTCGCGGCCCAAGCCCAAGGAGGAGCCCAAGCCCGAGGAGCAGGCGGCAGCGGGCTCTGGCACGGCCACGCCCAACCCGGCCGAGGAGAAGCCGGACCAAGCCCGCCGAGGAGATGGACGTCGACTAAATTTTCATTGTTCCCACCCCAAGAAACGAATAGAACCTTCCTCTCTTTTTTCCGCTTTCTCGACGTGCCACACGGGCCCCACCACACGCAGCCGTTGATGCCGTGGTTGGAGAAAATGCACCTGATTATTGAGGAGCGCACCACCTGGTCTGCCCTTGCTGATCATCGGCTGCTGGCGTGGCCACCTCTTGTCCAGCTCGGCACCATTTTATTTTTTTCAGTTCCTCTTGTTCGGACTAGTCTATCTATTTTTAAGATTAGGCTAATTTTGCAGACAGAGAATGGCAGCAAAGGTATCAAAGAAGACGTCCGGGGCGTCGCTGCGAGGCACAGAGAGCCCGTCGAAGCTTCGGCATCGTAAGAGCAACCACGGCAACGACAAGCGGGTAAGCAGAGCAGGGGCATTTGTTTGGAATCCGCGAGTAGCAAGGATATCCAAAGGCAGGCTGCTAAGACTTTCTTGCTTTGGGCTACTGCATGGCGATGTAGGGCGGCGAGGAGAGCGCAGCGCCGGTGCTGCTGGCGGCGGAGGAGACGCAAAAGAAGTGGCGGAACTGGCGGCAGCGGACGACGTTTACGTTTGCGATGATCGGGGGGTTCTTCACGGTGATAGCGCTGGGGCCGCTCTCGATCATGCTGATGGTGCTGTGCCTGCAGGTGCTGATCTACCGGGAGGTGATTTCGCTGGCGTCGGTGCCGAAGAAGGAGCGGTCGCTGCCGTGGTCGCGGGCAATGAACGTGTATTTCCTGATCTGCCTGGAGTACTATCTGTATGGGCGGAATGTGCACCGGGCGATCCAGCGGCACGCGTGGCTGGAGGCGTATCTGCAGCCGCTGTTTGCGCACCACCGGTTTATCTCGTTCAGCCTGTATCTTGTGGGGTTCATGTGGTTTGTGGGGACGCTGCGCAAGGGGTACTACCGGTTCCAGATGGGGCAGTTTGCGTGGACGCACATGGCGCTGGGGCTGGTGGTGATGCAGAGCCAGTACATGATCGAGAACATCTTTGAGGGCATCTTCTGGTTCTTCCTGCCGATAGCGCTGGTGATTGTGAACGACATCTTTGCGTATGTGTTTGGGTTTTTCTTTGGGCGGCACCAGCTGATTGAGCTGAGCCCGAAGAAGACGTGGGAAGGGTACATTGGAGGCGGGCTGACGACGATGGCGTTTGGGTTCCTGTTTACGGCGGTGCTGAGCAACTGGCGGTTCATGACGTGTCCGCCGCCGAATCTGCACATGACGGCGTTTTCGGCGGTGGAGTGCGAGCTGAACCCGGTGTTTGTCGCATCCGAGTACCGGCTGCCGGCGGCTGTGGCGACGGTGCTGTCGTGGGTGTTCCGGCGCAGCATCGCGACGGTGTGGATCAAGCCGGTGCAGTTCCACTCGCTGGCGATTTCGGCGTTTGCGTCGCTGATCGCGCCGTTCGGCGGGTTCTTTGCGTCGGGCGTGAAGCGGGCGTTCAACATCAAGGACTTTGGCAACTCGATTCCGGGCCATGGCGGAGTGACGGACCGGTTCGACTGCCAGTTCTTCATGGCCGCGTTCTCGCACATTTATTATTCGAGCTTCATCAAGGTATCGACGCTGACGGCGGCCACCATGTTCAACAAGTTCCTGCTGCTGACGCCTGAGCGCCAGGTCGAGCTGTACCAGAGCATCCAGCAGTACCTGCAGACCACGGGCTCGATTGTCGAGGAAGCGGCCAAGTCGACTTGAGAGGACAGTTCTCGGGATTTCTTTGTTCTCTTCTTTTGATTCCCAGTTTTTTTTTTCTAATTTCATTTATTTTTTTTTCTCTCTTCAAAATGTCGGACAGCGGGTTCAATGACGACCTTTTGGAGCGTGAGCTATTTGGCGCAGAGTCGGACTCGCTGGAGGGCGGCATGGATGCCAATATGGACGTGGACGACATGCTGAGTCTCAGCGAGAGCATCACGGGACGGGCAACGCCAGCAGCAGCTACAGGCAGCACACCAGCGCCGGTGGCCAAGCCCGGCACAGCAAAGGTCAGCCGGGCAGTGCCGCAGCTGGACATTGAGATGGACACGCCGCCAGGCGCCTTGACAGTGCTGGAGAACGCACCGCGGGCGCAGTTTGCGGCGGCCGGGCAGCGGGCGCAGAGCCGCAGATACGAGGTGGTGCCCACAGCAGCCCTGCTGAATGCATACCAGATCCACACGCTGACAGCAACAGCCGACATGCGGTGGGTGTTCAGCGGGGGCGCCGACGGATACATCAAGCGGTGGGACTTTGCAGCGACCATGAACGGCCGGCAGATGATGACGCAGGGGCAGCGGCATGCGCACGTGGACAGCGTCTCCAAGGCCGGCGTCATGGCTGGGTACTGGGAGCACTCGGACAACGACGTGCTGTCGCCGGTGTTCAGCATGGACGTGCAGGCCCAGGCGCTGTGGCTGGCGTCGGGCATGCAGAGCGGCCGCATTGCCCTGTGGAGTGTGCGCCATGACGAGGGCCGGAAGCTGCACGTGCTCAGCAAGCACCGCCAGCCCGTGTCGGTGCTGCGCATTTCCCCCGATGAGCGCGGCCTGGTCAGCGGCGCCTGGGACCGCGCTGTGCTGTACTGGGACCTGGACTCGGGTCGCCTGGCCCGCAGCTTTGCCGGCCACGCCTCGCAGATCAGCAGCATTGCCTTCCAGCCCACATGGGATGCTGCCAAATACAGTGCCTTGAAAAACTCCCCAGCAGACAACTCGCAGGCGCCAGCAGAGAACGAGGGCTTTGACTTCAAGACACCCAGCCCCGTGCTGATGACCGCCAGCATCGACGGGCAGTGTCTGCTGTGGGACGTACGCATGCGCACTGCATTGCCGCACCGCTTCGATCCGCCGCCGCGCACCCCGCCCTGGGCTGCCTCTGCGTGCTGGAGCCCCGATGGCAAGCGCATCTTCGTCGGCCGCCGCAACAACACTGTCGACGAGTACGAGTTCAACCAGGGCAACCAGCCCGTCCGATCCCTGCGCTTGCCGCCGAACTCGGGCCCTGTGACCGCGCTGGCTGCTTTGCCCAACAACCGCAGCCTGATCTGCTGCTCCACCGATAACGTGCGCATGTGGGATCTGGATGAGCAGAAGGGCGTGCGCTTTATGGTCATCCCGGGCCACCACGGCAGCACCGTGTCGTGTGCCTTGGTCGACGAGGCTGCGCGCTTCATGGTCACTGCCTGCGGGAACCGCGGGTGGGATGGCGTCAGCAACAACGTGTGCTTGTGCTATGAGATCGAGAGCGTGAAATAGACTCATGGGCTGGTCTGCAGCTGGGGCTATTTATCGATCGCTTTCACATGCCGCTCCTGATTGCCTGTGCTTCCCAAACAGATGGCTTGGTTTCTATTGAGAAACAGGCGTGATTCATGTTCATCCACATGAAAGTTCGGGGCGGTCCTACAAAAGCAAGCACGCCCCGTCACCTTCCACAGCCCTGGAATATGAAAATGCCCATCACGCCTCCCCTCTTTGCTAACCCACCTTTTCTCTTGTTTTTGCACTCCTCTCCTTTTTTTTCCTCTGTAAATGAAGACCCGCCCATTGGTTGTCCTTGACGACTACTTTGTCAAGCGCAATTTGTTTTCGCAGCTAAAGCACAACACCCATGATATCCGCTTCCTGGGCGGCTACTTTGAGGTCTCCAGCGGCAGTCCGTTTCTGACAAAGTTTTTTTCTACCGAGCACATAATCGCGCAGCAGTGGATGCGCACTGCCGACACCCAAATAACGTACAGCTGGTGGCTCTATGCTGTCCATCTGGCCGCACTCCTACTGCTGGTGTTTGCGTACCTGGCCAGTCTGTCATCAGCGCCGCTGGTATATTCGCTGGGCACATTACCAAGCATCTGCCTATTGCTGGTGGTCTCATACCACGTGTGCTTTTTCCTGGCACTGAACTACAAGCCGACATGGTTCGAGCGCACAGTGATCTTCCATTCGCCGTTTGCGTGGGCAGCCGCCTGGGTATTGGTGCTGTGCAATGACAGCACTCTGGCGGTGCCGCCGACCAGCCTTTTGGCAATCCATGTGTTCATCTGGTATGTGCGCCGCACGGCCATCGGAATTGTGGTATTTGAGCGCAAGATCCGTGCCAGCTCCGTCCTGCACTGGAGCCACCGCGCGTACTCGCTGGTGGCGCCGATTTTAATTGCATGGGCCTGGAAATGGTATCCGTGCTTGTCGGTCTCGTGGGATCTGTCAGGGTACTCGCCGACGCGCGATTTGCTCGACCAGCGCGTTGTGCGCCAGTGGGCGGCCGAGCGCGAAATCCCCACGGTGCAGCTGCTGGCTGCCATGGCCATGGCTGGTGGCCTGCATGTTGCCTGGTATAGCTTCATTAGCTATGCCTACCATATGGTCGTCTGGAAGGAGTATTTGCGCGAGGGCCTTGCGGTCTGGGTCGTCAGCGACGGTGCCATGTGCACAAAACTGTTCTGACTGGCCCCTGTACTTCAGGCGCGTATTTTGTTTATAGCCTTTTTTTTTTCTTGCATTTCGCGATTGTACACTTATTACCACTCATAAATAGACTGCATATAGTGGCTACCAGGAGCATTTAGTGTTTACTCCACCTGACTGATGTAGTTGAAGCTTCACGTACTATTCTACAAGACGATAATGCCAACATAGGCTGTGGCGTAGGAAGCACCCAATCTTCCCAGAGCACTCTTGACCAAGCATGTTGGCACCGAGCAGACTCGTGAAAAGTGCAGGTAGCAGGGGTCTACTACCCACTATATATTCCAACATCCTCCCCTGTTTTCCAGCAACACTTGAATCCCTATCTTTTCTCTTTTGAAAAGCCCTATCTCACTAATGGACATCTACTCATATTTCAGCGTCAAGGACAAATCATTCGTTATTACTGGTGGCGGCGCCGGTTTAGGCCGCATGATGGCTGAAGGCCTAGTGGCGGCTGGTGCGCATGTTTACATAGCAAGTCGCAACGAGCAGGTACTCAAGGAGACATCGCAGTCCCTGACAGCCCAAGGTCCCGGCAAATGCGACTACATCGTCTGCGACATCACGGATCCTGAACAAGTGCAGGAACTGGCGCACAAGCTTACCGAGCTCGAGCCAAACGGACTACACGCCCTAATTAACAACTGTGGGCGGACATACGTGGCTAACTACAAGGATCATCCTGACGACGAGTTTCTCGATACCTTGCAACTGAATATGTTCACCCCTTTCCTAGTGTCCAAGACACTCCTGCCACTGCTGAAGCGCGCGGCGACTAAGGAGTGCCCAGCGCGTATAATCAACATAACTAGCGTTGCTGGTTACCGAATTTGTGTGTCCACCCACCCGGCGTACATATCGTCCAAGGCCGGTCTGATCCATCTGACCAAGGACATGGCGCAAAAGTTTGCACCGGACAACATCACGGTCAATTCGATCTCACCCGGCTCGTTTGACTCGCCAATGCTGCGGGATAGCTTGTCAGAGGACTTCTTTATGCAGATGCCAGATTTAGTTCCGCTGCGCAGGTTAGGAAACACCATAGACATTACTGGAACTGTTGTGTTCCTTGCCTCGGATGCCGGCTCGTATATCACAGGTACTGATACGATTCTTGATGGTGGACTGCTTGTAGCGTAATGATAGAACAGCACCCTTGGAATAAACACCTATCATAAACCTTTCTAGCTACAATAGACGAATATTTTGACTGGACTATCTTGTTATATACTGTCAGAAAACTGTGGAATGTTAGTCATAAAGATGGAGATGACTCTTTGTAGGATAAATTCTTTCAGACTATTTCCATCAGCAGCTTTGTTGGATAAGCAAAGGGAAAGACAGCTCAGAAGTTGTGTATTGAACAATCATCTATTCAAGTTACGTATACGCATAGTGCTACCCGAAAAGGTCGTACTAGTGGCAAGCGGGTCGCAGCAAAGCCACCAGGCGGGTCTATAAATAAGGCCAAGTAGCCCACTCGTCTCCAGTCCCTGGCTCACGACCCCGGGACGTTTTCCAGTCAATATATTCTCGTATACCACTATATTTTCGCATATTACATAGCCTCTCAAGTATAAATGGCATCAGTTAGCTAGGATGCATATTTTTTTTTACTGAAACTGCACTCGAGAACTCCTCACCGACGTACAATACAAGGGATCAGTGTGCATGCTTGTAGCGAAAAGATAACCTAATTGCCTTCATTGACACTCAGCAACTCATAGATTGTGCAACATGCAGCCATCAATCCCACCATTGGCTCTAGCGATATATCCATCAGTTATACTGACCTGGATAGGATGAGTTGCATAAGGGTTGTAGTTCAGGCCAGTGCTGGTTCTGTATTCTCTATGGCATTTCTGGTGTTGTATGTGGCTCTAACAAGAGGCAAGTGTAGTTAAGGAAGCTGAGGGAGAATGTAGACGAGATCGAAGAAATAAACTAGGAAATGTATTAGTAATTTTTCTAGCTTCATCTACAAAATAGTATCTGGAAGTGGGCCTGGTAGGCATGTATTAATAAGCATTTTTGCAGAGTAGGAAGAAGATGGGGTTCTAAAAAGATCCTTTACAAAAGATACCCTTTTTCGTCATGCCCTTCACCTCGTCAAGCTGTGAGGATAGCAGCTAGAGTCTGAACGTCTCTGAAGGTGGACATCGCTAAGGGGTGGAATCTATCAACTATGTTGCTGATAATGGCAATCTGTAACGGTGTGTATTTAAGCGTTGTGAGGATGGTGGAAACTATGAATAGATAATAACTTAATCGTAATTCCTTCAGCCTTGGGAATACTACCGGTGAATAGTATGCGTATGATTCTTCTGTGGATTCAAATACGACAGGGCTGTGATAAATTTTGAGCAATGTTAGGGTTTCGAAGATGACTTGTCCAGGCAAACTGTATCTGAAGATATGCCATGAATATGCAATGCCAGAATAATATATAGCTAGTTTTCCCAGTGAGGGTGTAAGTATTTTAGAGAGATATCCAGCACTCCTGCTAGCGATGTAAAAGTCTAACCTAGTGAGGTATGGAAGTACTTGTGACCAAACTCTGGAAATATAACATCAGATACTAGAAATACTCTGCTCGCGATGCGAGCTCGGTTACTAGTCAGCATGGGTTGACACGTCGATAAGAGCATCACGGCGAACCGGTCATTTGAACGTGTCGGATGGTTGTTGGTGCAATGTCGATCATGGACATCTCCAACCTTGGTGGCCTGCTCAGCGCAGGCGCTTCAGCGCTGGTTCGCTGCTGCTGGCAGCAGAATCGCCTGCTGCTGCACGCCTCTTGCGCGGGTTCTTTGTTTCAGGGGTGGTGCCAGAATCATTGGCAGCAATGGCCGCAGAACGACAGAACCGTTCAGGAATACTGCCTGAATCACAGAGTGACTGGGAAATGAGTCTGAAGTTTAGAACTGCTGCGAGATCGCGGTTCAAGAGCCAAGACGAATAGGCTCGCCTGTATTGTGCCATGGCCCGCTTACATGACTCGCTTGTACAGCGGAGAAGGCCATGGCACTTCACAGTTGGGTTCCTCGATCTCTGGTAGGGCCGCAGGTTGGGAACATGCCGGAATGTCTGCAGCGACTTTTCCCAGCAGAACGGGCACATCGACGATGTCCGGAATTCGTCGATCAGATAGACTTCAAAGCCATGGTGCTTGAACTTGTCGCGCCATCCCTTGCCACGAATCGGCGCATGGTGCCGGGCCATCAGCGCACTCTAATTGCCCATGATCAGCACTGGATCTGGACCGAACTTGCTCCGGAGTTTTGCGGCAAGCCTGTGGTCTGCACGGGCCTGGTTCATGAATGAATCAAGGCGCAGCTTGCGGTGAAGCGGGTACACCTTGGGACTGGTACTGACACCTGGATGGGCCTTCCAGCGCCTTTGGTGCTGCTTGTTTGACTTGGTGGGCTGCTGCTCTGGTAACCTTCGCGCTGTCATCGTGCTGGCATAAAACGGTGCTAGGACATACCGCACAGATGCACGGGCAGCAACGTAGGCACGGAATTTTGCTAGGCTAAGGGTCCGGCAGCAGTGCTTGGAAAGCTCTGCCTCTGCTCTGCGGACAGCATCTTCTGGGACTTGATTCTTTGTAGCCTGACGAACCCTGTCATAGTGGCGCAGCTTGAGCTCCTTGTTGCGCTGCTGCCATGTGTAGCGGTAGAGCATTTTTTCACCCTCTTTCCCATTGCTGCTATTTTCGTGCATCATATACAGTAAATCGCCCCGACCTGGATCGATGAATACACAGCGGCCTTTCAGATTCTGCAGCTCTGGCTGTGGTATTTGGTGGATATAGCAACAGTCAGCTGTAGCATCAGCATCTACTGCAGCACCAGTCTTAGGTACCTTGTCTTGTAACAAAATGCATATCGTTATACCATCTGTTGTTGCCATTCCGTGGAATTTTCTATCACCATGCGCCTTAAATGGCTTTGATGTTAGATCTGCGACCCGGCCCCACACATCCCACACAGATTGTGTGATCCCTTGGACTGGGTCGTGTGCACAGACTGGGGGTTCTGGTGCATATGCATTGTTAAGTGCTGCAACAGTGTACATGGATCGCATAAATATAATCTTGTTGCCGAAAGAAAGAGCGCACATACGCTTTGTTTGTCTTTGAAGTATTATGAGCAATGGAAACTCAAAACTGATGGAAGGAAAGTAGAAACCGCAAATTCTTTGCTGTATTTAATTCTCGGGGAGGGGGGACAGAGGGATCATACTTGGACCCTCATCTTAACCGTACTATTCGTTTCCTAAACTTGCTTCAAAATGGTCGACTATACCTTTCCAGTTATCATAAAACGGCTGTTTCCCTTTGCCTTTCGTTCTTTCTGAACTCACTTTTTCAATACTCTTTTTTTTAACTATCAAAATGGACATATACTCATTCTTTAGTGTCAAGGACAAAGCGTTCGTTGTTACTGGTGGTGGCACTGGCATTGGCCGCATGATGGCTGAAGGGCTAGTATCGGCTGGTGCGCGTGTCTATATTACCAGTCGCAACGAGCAGGTGCTCAAGGAGACATCGCAGTCCCTGACAGCTCAAGGTCCCGGCAAATGCGACTACATCGTCTGCGACATCACGGATCCTGAACAAGTGCAGCAACTGGCGCACAGGCTTACCGAGCTCGAGCCAAACGGGCTACACGCTCTAATAAACAACTCCGGAAAAATGCACAAGTCGAACTATGAGGATCACTCTGACGACGAGTTTCTCAGTACCTTGCAGCTGAATATGTTTACCCCTTTCCTAGTGTCCAAGACACTCCTGCCGCTGCTGAAGCGCGTGGCAACTAAGGAGTGCCCAGCGCGTATAATCAACATCGCTAGCATTGCTGGTACTCGAGTTCCTGCAATCACTTACCCAGCGTACATGTCGTCCAAGGCCGGTCTGATCCATCTGACCAAGGACATGGCGCAAAAGTTTGCGCAGTACAACATCACCGTCAACTCGATCTCACCAGGCATGTTTGAGTCGGAATTGCTTCGCAGTACCATGAGTGAGGACGCGTACACAAATCTTCCAGACATAATCCCTTTACGCAGGCTCGGGACTACTCGAGATATCGCCACCGCTGTGATATTTCTGACATCGGATGCTGGCTCATACATCACTGGTGCCGACGTTGTGGTTGATGGTGGAGCTCTCAACCGACCATGATATTGAATTTGGACCTGGTCCGCTGTAGCCCCTTAGTCCCATCATGTGTTTATTAGAAGGCTGAGCCTTCAGTCTATGTTCCTACCACCAACGCGTAGTGAGCCTCTAGCGACTCGCGCAAGCGAGTGAGCCGCCAGACTGCGCGAGCCGGACCGGTTCTAAACTCTATTAGCGTCATCTATCTGCCTCCGTCTGATCCCCTGCCTTCACTCCAATGCTTTAACGACCTCCCCTTTCCACATTTAAATTCAAAAAAGCCTAATTATACTTCAGCATGCTCAGACTCAGCCGGTGTGTTCAGCAGTCTGGCCAGATCGCGGCTTGCAGAGTTGCAGCGAGCAACCATAGGATGTTCAGCACCTGTCGGGCGCTTCTGGCGCAGCATGCAAAGTTTGCCGAATGGATCGACAACACAGGCAAGCTTGACTCGAAGGCACTCGAGACCAAGTGGAAAGCACGGTGGGCTGAACTGAAAGCCAGCCAGCCCGACCTCGGCAGCCAGGAGCTGAGCGCAGCGGAGATCGAAAAAATGTTCTATGTGCTGGTCATGTTCCCGTACCCGTCAGGAATGCTGCACATGGGGCATGTGCGTGTATACACGATCAGCGACACGCTGTCGCGGTTCCACCGGATGACCGGCAAGCACGTGCTGCACCCGATGGGCTGGGATGCGTTTGGGCTGCCGGCAGAGAACGCTGCGATCGAGCGCAATGTTGCTCCTGGCGACTGGACGAAGCGCAACATTGCGGCGATGAAAGAGCAACTGGAGACAATTCTGACCGACTTCAACTGGGACCGCGAGCTGGCGACATGCGATCCAGAGTACTACAAATGGACGCAGCATATATTCCTGCAGCTGTTCAACAACGACATGGTGTATCGGAAAGAGGCTGTTGTCAACTGGGACCCAGTCGACCAGACAGTGCTGGCGAACGAACAGGTCGACAAGAACGGGCGGTCGTGGAGATCGGGTGCTGTGGTTGAGCAGCGCAAGCTCAAGCAGTGGTTCGCCAAGATCACTGACTATGCC